CCGGCTCCTGCCAGTCTTTCCAGGGCCGTGCTGGGAAGCGCGCAGGGATGTGGGGAGACCCGTGTGCCTTGGCATTCCCATCGAGCAGAGGCGGATAAACCCCGAAGATGCCAGGGGAGTCTGGCAGTGCTGGGAAGTGACCGCGGCCCTGCCGTTGTCCTGCTCCCTGCCTCCCTGGGGATGTGTGTCCTGCCAGGCTGGGCACCAGCCACCACCAGCACCTCCCCTCTCTCCCCAGGAGCAGGGATGACTGCCACAAGGATGGGAAGGGGAATGACTTTCCTCCCTGAGGTTTTGCCCCCAGAGGAGCTGCTCCACGAGTGCTGGTGGCTGAGCAAAGCTCTTGCTGGGGAGGGGGTGGCAGGGGTGTAAGCCCCCGGTACCAGAGCCTTGGGCAGGGCTTCAGTGCACTGCACAGCCTGCAGCACCCTGCGACGCCGGGAGGGACCCCTTCTCCCTCCACCTCCCTGGCAGTACTGCAGCAGCTCCTGGAAGATAAGGGGGAGTGGAGGAGGGTGTCTCCAGAGACCCACACCCAAACCCCATCCTTGAAACTGCCCCAGGGCAACTCCTGTCCCTGACAGCTCTGCAGGAGGGAGTGTGTATCCAGCATGGAGATGCTGCTGCTTCGCAGCAGTAACTGCGGAGGAAGGGAGTGGCTGGGGTCTGCTCTGCTGCAGGATCTAGCACCTTCCCACGGGAGGGAGCAAAAAGGGCAGGGGGTGACAGGTTTAAACAGAAAGAGGGAGATGGAGATGGGACATCAGGAAGGAATTCTTCCCACAGAGGGTGGGGAGCACTGGGACAGGTTGCCCAGCGAAGCTGTGGATGCCCCATCCCTGGGAGTGTCCAAAGCCAGGCTGGATGAGGCTGGGAGCAACCTGGTCTAGTGGAAGGTGTCCCTGCCCATGGCAGGGATGTTGGAACTAGATGGTCTTTAAGGTCCCTTCCAACCTAAACCAATCCCTGATTCTGTGCCTTCAGCCCATGGTGAGCTGGCGAGGAGCAAACCCCATGCTGGGGGTGAACCCCACGCTGATGCCCCTCTCTCCTTTGCAGCGGAGGCCACTTCAACCCTGCTGTGTCCTTGGGCGTGTGGCTGGTCGGTGGGCTGAACATCACGATGCTCATTCCTTACTGGGTCTCCCAGCTCTGCGGAGGGATGATAGGAGCCGGCCTGGCAAAGGTACAGACACCAGGGACTCTCCTGAACCAGGGTCAATGCTGGGGTGCAGGGCCTGCACCACCTCCAGGGTCTGCAGCAGCAGCATCTGTGATGTGGGGGGTGGTCTTGGTGCATCAGTTCTGCATGTAATTAAGAGCGCTGACTTGTCACAAGGTGGTTTGGCTCAGGGGTTTCCTGCGTGGCCACAGGGCTCATCTGGCTCTCCGTGGCAGGGCGCCCGGTTCCTCCTTTCACCATCTGACTGCAGGACTCGGACAACTC